CGGGTGCTGGCGGCAGCCCCGTGGGGCTTCTTGCTCTCGGACATGGCTGCTGAGGAGCAGAGGTTCAGGGAGAAGGAGGAAAGCGGGGCGTCTTCTTTTCCTTCCGGTGTGGCGGCGATGCTGCTGCTGCTGCCGCTGCCCCCGCCACTTGTTGCCGTAGAGGACGCGAGAGGTGGGAAGGGGCCAGTGGTCTGCTGCTGCCCCCTTTGTCTCAACACTAGCCAAGGCCAGAGCGCACATAACAGCGAGATGTTGCCTTCCTTTTCCGCTTGCTCACAACCTGGCAGGCACCTTCATTTTCCTCTTCTCCCCTCTGCTGCTGCCAGAAGACATGGCCTCTCTGTGAAGCTGCCTGGACTGTGAGGTCACCGCTGACCTCACAGAGAACCGGGAGGGGAGGCCCTGGTGGGCAAGGCCTCCATGGGTGCCCCCCTCCCCAATAAAGGGGAGTGCAGTGGTGCACTTAACTGGAGTGACTTGGGGCGGGGGAGCGTGCTTTCGTTGCTAAATGCTTTCTTTTTCAAAAAAATTATTGGGAATTTTATTTACAACACAACATAAACCCCCCACCCCCAATACAGAAATCCACCCTCATTAAACGTGAACATAAGATACAATAAGCATAGCATACAACATTACAAACAACCAAATAAAAGATTTCCTTTATCCTGTATCTGGCCTCCTTATTTACTTCTTATAAGCTGTTTCCTTTATGAATAGTTATTAAGATTTTTCTAATTATAACTTAAATATCCACAAAGTCTCCTGCAAGAGATAGGAGTCCAGGTATGTATTTTAGGGCACTGTTTTGTGAAGTATTCTCTGTATTTCCCCCATGCTTTTCGAAACTCTTGTCTAGTGTGGTCTCTCATTGCCTCTGTTAATCTAGCCAGTTCAATAGACTCTAATAGACTTCTTCACGCAGAACAGATTTAAACTGTGGAACTCATTGCCACAAGAGGCAGTGACGGCCACCAACCTGGATGGCTTCACAAGAGGATTAGATGAATTCGTGGAGGAGTTGAGGGCTATCAGTGGTGACCAGCCAAGGTGGCTGTGCTCTGTCCTCCACATTTGAAGGCAGAAATGGTTCTGGATCCCAGTTGTTGGAAGCCACAGGAGGGGAGATTGTTGCTGCTCTTGTGCTGGAGTTCTACTTGCAGGTTTTCCACAGGGCTCTGGGGGGGGGGCACTGTGAGAATGGGATGCTTTGAGGACACTGTGAGAAGAGCAGCCCTCCTCTTCTGTTCTTGGGAATTTGCTTATTGGGCCAGGCAACCTCTGCTAGGCTAGTTGGATTGCTTGCTTTTACTTACATTCCGCTTGGCCTTTGGCTTGGAATCAATTTGTTCCCCTCCTCCTCTTTCTTTTTTCCTTTCACCTCTGTGTTGGAACTCCTGTTTGGGGACTTCCCTGGCTTTTTTCTGGCCCACGTAGGACCAGTCTGGATAGTTAGCCTTGGTAAAGACTTGACGTTTTTATCCCCAAAAAAGTTTTTGAGTGAGTTTCCACTGAAATGAGGCTGCATTTTAATGTTTTAATGTTGTATTTTAATCTTGTTTTTTAATCTGTATTTCATTCAATTGTTTTTATATTTGGTGTTAGCCGCCCTGAGCCCAGTCTTGGCTGGGGAGGGTGGGGTATAAATAAATTTTTTTATTATTATTATTACACGCCGCTTTCCCACGATGTGTTGTGCCCAAAGGGGCTGACAGAAAGCACCCCTAACATCAAAATAGAGAACACTGGGAATACAAGCGTACGAAATGCAGAACACGCCAGTAAGTTCAAAATAACAAAAGTCAACTATTTAGCAACTATTTAGCAAACACAGAATAAATTCAATTCAATTAAAACAAAACAAAACCCCAGCCCATTAGGCTTAAGAACACAAATACAAAGTGAAAAATGTAAATGAACCAACAATAATGTTTCTGGTGCTGGCCTTGCTGCTCTGCAAGGAGCCTGGCTTAAATGCAGTTCAGAGGGGAGGGCATGCAGCTGGCTCCCATGTCTCTACTCCAGAGGAGGCTGGCAGCAGCAAAAGGTCAATCTTGGGGAGGACAACGATGGTCCGTGTCTGCCTCAGCCTCCTCAAAGTACCAACTGCTGGTGCAGGCCTAATTGCACTTCCCTCCTCCTCGTTCTATTGAAGGGGGGCACTGGATATCTGCCCCCAAAGTCCCACCCTATTGGCACCAAGTGGCTGAGGATTTAATACATTTACACACAAGTTTTCAATAACAACCCTTCCCAAAGAGGTTTCAGAGATACCACAATGTCACGTTCAGGGATCCCCTTCTTTCTTTGAATTCTAGGAAGAAGAGCCAGGATGGTGTGGTGGTTAAGAGCGGTGGACTCGTAATCTCGTGAACCGGGTTCGCTTCCCCACTCCTCCACATGCAGCTGCTGGGTGACCTTGGGCTAGTCACACTTCTTGGGCTTCCCATCGGGGGCATTGGGTTGGCCAGTGTGAAAACAGGACACCAAGCTAGATGAACCCTCTTTGGCCTGATCCAGCAAGTCTTGGCCTCTTGCATGATCAACAGCCGTGGGATTTACACCTAGGAAAGGTCAAGACTCCCAACAGTTTGGAAGTCAGTTCTAATGGAAGTGTCAGGGGTGGGTAGCACCAGGAGCCAACTGTCCGCAATAAGTCCTGGAGAAGATAGGCATTTATTTATTTATACATTATACATACATACATACATACATACATACATACCCCACCCATCTGGCTGGGTTTCCCCAGCCACTCTGGGCGGCTTTCAACAGAACTTTAAAAACAGAATAAAACTTCAAACATTAAAAAACTTTCCTAAACAGGGCTACCTTCAGATGTCTTCTAAAAGCCAGAGAGTTGTTTATTTCCTTGACATCTGATGCGAGGGCATTCCATAGACAGATAGATAGATTTGGATTACATAATCCAAATATCTTTTTAAAGAAAGGTAAAAGTCAAGCAGGCGGATGGATGTAACTCGATGACTATGAGCAGCTGTGTGAGATGGCAGGTTGTGGGGACCTCACAAACAGCCACCTCTCCAACCTTTTTCCAATGCCAGGGTCCCTTGATGATGGACACTTTTAGACATCACTCTTCTCCACAGCAGGGACGTGGGTGGCGCTGTGGTCTAAACCACAGAGCCTAGGGCTTGCGGATCAGAAGATCGGCAGTTTGAATCCCCGCGACGGGGTGAGCTCCCGTTGCTCGGTCCCTGCTCCTGCCAATCTAGCAGTTCGAAAGCATGTCAAGTGCAAGTAGATAAATAGGTACCACTCTGGCGGGAAGGTAAACAGCATTTCCGTGCACTGCTCTGGTTCACCAGAAGCGGCTTAGTCCTGCTGGCCACATGACCCGGAAGCTGTACGCCGGCTCCCTCAGTCAATAAAGTGAGATGGGCGCCACAACCCCAGAGTCGGCCACGACTGGACCTAACAGTCAGGGGCCCCTTTACCTTCTCCACAGCAGCCTTGCAGAGCAGGCCTGGAACACAGGGAATCCCACAAGCAATGATGTGAGGATGAGTGGGTGGTTTGGCTCCAATGTGGACCTGGTTGTAGCATGAGGTGGTCTAGGCAGCAGCCGACTTCATCTGACGCACAGAGCAGCTGGTTCTTGCTAGATGCCCAGAAAGAAGATGGGAACCATGTTGAAATAAACCAGCCAGGCTGCTTCCACAGACGGCACACTTATTGTGGCATAGCCACCCCTTTGCTTGTTTGCTTTTTTGTGGCATCTGCACAGCATCAGGAGGAAAACATCCTCCTCTCAGGTTTTCCCTTTTTGGCTTCCATCCAGTCATAGGATCATAGAATTGGAAGGGACCCTGAGGATCATCTAGTCCAACCCCCTGCAATGCAGGAATACGCAGATGTCCCATACAGGGATCGAACCTGCAACCTTGGCATTATCAGCACCACACTCTAACCAACTGAGCCATCCCCTCTAGAACTCAGAAGATCCACCTTTTAAAGGTGCAATGTCCCAAAGAGTGGATGACCCGTGGCTTTGCTTGTTAGCCTGTTAAGAACTATATAGTCATTTCCCAAATTGGTCTCTGTGTTCCCCTCTTCATGGCCTGCCTCTCCTCTGTAGGAATTGGCTCTGTCACCCCAACTCTTCCCTTTCCAAATATCATTGTGACCATATCACTCCTTCCTCCTTTGCTCCCTCACTCCTAAATTGTCGGCAAGTGGGGGCAATGGCGAGGGAGGGTGTGCTTAACCCTTTCTCCTCTCAGGAGAACCAGGGTGGTGCAGTGGTTAGAGTGCTGGTCTAGGACCTGGGAGAGCAGGGTTCAAATCCCCCCACTCTGCCATGAACTTCACCGGGAGGTGAGAGCCCCTGCCTCTCAGCCTAACTTACCTCACAGGCTTGTTGTGGGGATTAAATGAAGAAGAAGAAGAAGAAGAAGAAGAAGAAGAAGAAGAAGAAGAAGAAGAAGAAGAAGAAGAGTAGTAGTAGTAGTAGTAGTTTGGATTTGACATCCCGCCTTATCACTACCCGAAGGAGTCTCAAAGTGGCTAACATTCTCCTTCCCCTTCCTCCCCGACAACAAACCCTCTGTGAGGTGAGTGGGGCTGAGAGACTTCAAAGAAGTGTGACTGGCCCAAGGTCACCCAGCAGCTGCAGGTGGAGGAGCGGGGAAGCGAACCTGGTTCCCCAGATTACGAGTCCACTACTCTTAACTGGGAGAACCATGTGCACCACCTTGAATTCTGCAGAGAAAAAAGATGGGATGCAAATGCAGCAAATTAATTGATTAATGGTTCCAAATAAAATAAAAAAAATAGGAGAGCAGTGAGACTGTTGGCTTTTGTTTATTACATTGCGTGGACATTAAAGTCAACCCATTTCAGAAGCCCCAGCCTACCAGAGGAGACCTTTTCATCGCCCTCACAGTCAGAACAGCCTCCGGCGGCCCCCCAACTGTTCAGCAAGAAGGGGACCCCTTCCCTCTAAGCCTCCTCCTCTTGTCCGTGGGCAAAGGGTCTGTCTGGGCTTTGTGGTGGCGCAGCAAGTTTATTCTTGGGAGGGAGAAGATTTGAAGCTTGCCCAGGAGTTGGGTGGTCTTACTCAGAAGTGGCCGACCCTGGGCAGGGGTAGCCATTGACCCAGGGGCTCACCCCTGTGGAGTAGCCTCTCAAGCGCAGCATGAACCAGGGAACCAGCACAGGCGCCTCAGCCATCAGCGCCTGGAGCCCTTGTTCCATCTGCACCCAGGCCTGGATGGCTTTGGGGTTGGACATGGCGGCCACCATCTCTGGGCTCTGCATCTGCTGGGAGAAGTGGAGGACCTGCTGCTGCGCCTGCTCCTGTTGGGCCACTGGAGGCCTTTCTGCGGCCCGCAGGACGCTCTGCATGAGGGAGAAGATCATGCGTTTGGTGTAAGCATTGCAGAGGTTGACAATCAGCTTCGGGATCTCGCTGGCGTCTGGTGGTGGGAGGCTGCCCAGGCCAAACGCCCCAGCCCCGGACATGGGCGGCAGGTTGGGCATGGAGGAGCTTTGCCCTGGAGGGGGAGCCAGGCTGCTGAAGGCTGTGCTCTCCTCGCTGCAGGTGCTGTGGGTGCTGTGGGAGCTGTGGCAAAGGGGCAGAGAGCCCACACGATCCAGGCTCTCCAGCTGGGACCCATGGCTCCTCCCCAGGGTGGAGGCGAAGAGCTCCTGGATGGCGTTCAGCCCTGGTTCTGGTAGCTCACTGTTCAGCTGCCTCAGGGGGTTGTCCCCTCCAGGGATGCTGCCGTGGAGGCTGATCAAGGCTTGGTCCGGAGCCTTCAGGTCCTGGAACATCTCTGGGTTCTTTGCCAGGTCCACAATCTCCCTCATCTTGTCCAGGATCACCCTCATGATGTCCATATTGTCGAGTATGTGTCTGATGGCTGGGACTTGCTGGGCCAGCTGCTGGATCTCTGGGTTGGCCAGGATCACCTGCCGGACCTTCTCGACAATCATCTCCGAGGTGGGCACCAGCTGCCACTCAGAGCTGGAGGGGGCTGCCTCAGGGGACCCCCAGAAGCCCCGCAGGCTCGAGCTGAAAGCTGGGGAGGGAAGGCTGCCCCCAGATGGTGTCAGGGCAGGTGGCCTGGTCTCGGGAACATAGGGAGACTGAGGAGGGTCTTCCAGGTCCCTTTTGAGAGTCCTGATCACCAGGTGTACAGTCATCCCGTCCGTGATCCCGCACTGGCGGAGCGTGTCCTTGTCCTTCAGGATCCTCCCAAAGTAGACCAGCACCAGCTGGCTGGTGTCGCAGGAGAAGTGCTTGGCAAGCTCCTCCTTGAACTGCTGGATGGTGCTGAGCTCTGGGAGCAGGAACTGGGCGCTGCTCTTGGGGGACTTTGCCGTGATGCAGATGAAGTTGGGGTTGGAGGCGAGGATGGGGCAGGCCTCTGGGGGCCCTTCCGGGTCTTTGTCCATGGTTTCCATGATGCACGGAGGAGGAAGAGGAGGAGGAAGAGGGGCTTGCATGGGAGAAGCGGGGCAGAGGCGTCTCGCTAGGCAGAGAAGGTGCCAGGGGAAGGACGGCGCTGCTTAAGTCACCTGGAGGACTGCGCTATGACAGCCGCTGCGGTTGTGGTCCTTTAGGAGAGCAGCTGGCTGCCCCATACACTGGTGCTGGGGTGTGGCAAGCCTGATGGCTCACGTGACAGCCCCCTCCCTGGACCTTCTTCTCTCCCCTCCCTCCCTCCCTCCCTCCTCCTGAGCGAAGGAGCTGCTCTCCACACCGCAGGCACATCAAGGAGTGGGGGGGGGGTCACTGTGACATCGGCAGTGATGCCAGCAATGATGTCGCCACCACCCACAAAGCTCTTGGTAGCTGGCAGAAGGAGCCTCCAGGAGGGACAGGGCTTCTGCTCTGAGGCAAGGCCACCCGAGGCCAGGTCCTAGAGTTACCACTTCATAGAACTGAAGAGTTGGAAGGGATAGAATCATAGAATCATAGAGTTGGAAGAGACCACAAGGGCCATCGAGTCCAACCCCCTGCCAAGCAGGAAACACCATCAGAGCATTCCTGACATATGGTTGTCAAGCCTCTGCTTAAAGACCTCCTAAGACGGAGACTCCACCACACTCCTTGGCAGCAAATTCCACTGTCAAACAGCTCTTACTGTCAGGAAGTTCTTCCTAATGTTTAGGTGGAATCTTCTTTCTTGTAGTTTGGATCCATTGCTCCGTGTCCGCTTCTCTGGAGCAGCAGAAAACAGCCTTTCTCCCTCCTCTATGTGACTTCCTTTTATATATTTGAACATGGCTATCATATCACCCCTTAACCTCCTCTTCTCCAGGCTAAACATGCCCAGCTCCCTTAGCCGTTCCTCATAAGGCATCGTTTCCAGGCCTTTGACCATTTTGGTTGCCCTCGTCTGGACACGTTCCAGTTTGTCAGTGTCCTTCTTGAACTGTGGTGCCCAGAACTGGACCTCCCCGAAGGTCCTCTATTCTGACCCCCTGCAATGCAGGAATCACAGCTAAGGAATCTCTGACATATGGCCATCCAACCTCTGCTTATAGACCTCCATTGAAGGAGAGTCTGCCGCCTTCTGGATGAGTCTGCTCCATAGCTGTCAACTTTCCCCTTTTTTAAAGGGAAATTCCTTTATTCCGAATAGGATTCCTCGCAAGAAAAGGGAAAAGTTGACAGCTATGGTCTGTTTCACTGTCAAGCAGTTGAAGTTACAAAATACTTAGGCTCTCCTGGGGTGTGTGCTGGAATCTTTTGGGGGCCTGGTGGGGAGCTTTTATCCTCCTAGGCTTTTCAGAAACTCATTTTTTTCATGCATTTCAGCTTAAAAAACAATAGCCCTCTTTTACTCTCCCTTCTGGATTTTAAAGCTTTTTATAGTGATTTTTTAAAAAGAAGAAGAAGAAAAAGAATACTTTATTTAGAATTCAACAATAAGAAAGGGAAAAACCACAGTAATTGTTACGTCAATTCATTGCAATTAACCCGATTTTAACAATATATAAATAGTAATAGAAACATCACTTTTAACTTACTGAAGTTTTCATATTACACTTTTATCTCTTTATCTCTTTCTTAAGAAATCAAAAAGAGAAAGGCCAAGAAAGGAGGCACAAAAAAATAAGAAAAGGGGGGGAGGGGGGAAAGGAAAAAAGAAAGAAGGAAATCAAACAAAATAAACACATTTGACTTCCGATTAGACTCATTGTATTATTATTTCTACTATTTTTTCACACACAATTCCAATCTGGTAGAATATTTTATAGTGATTTTATGCTGCTCTATGATAGCATTATATCGGTCACGCTTGGCATGGATTGTTTTAGGGTTAGAATTTGAAAATTGCATTTCTATTGATTCCCCCCCCCTCCCAGACAATGGGTGGCAATAACATTCCAAAGACAAAGCGATAGTAAGCTAGATAAACAGAATACCGTATTTTTTCGCTCTATAAGATGCACCAGACCACAAGACGCACCTAGTTTTTGGAGGAGGAAAACAAGAAAAAAAATATTCTGAATCCCAGAAGCCAGAACAGCAAGAGGGATCACTGTGCAGCGAAAGCAGCGATCCCTCTTGCTGTTCTGGCTTCTGGGATAGCTGCGCAGCCTGCAATCGCTCCATAAGATGCGCACACATTTCCCCTTAGGAGGGGAAAAGTGAGTCTTATAGAGCAAAAAATACGGTACATTTCTCTCCTGTTCCAAACCCTTTCCTGTGCCTGATGAGCTAAGGAAAAGATTCCTGCATTGCAGGGGGCTGGAACAGACAGCGCTTGTGGTGTCTTCCAACACTACAATTCTATGATTCCATGAGTTCCCTCACCCTAAACAATCCTTCCCTTTCCATCCTCTGGACAAGACCTTCCTCACTGCACTGCACCAAACATCATATTACTGGCACAAAATAAATGTTACATCTCTATCTATCTATCTCTGACTCACTCATTCACTCTCTCTCACACACACCTTCTTCTTTCTTCTTTGGTGATCACTAGTAGCTGAGTAAGATTGTCTTCCATAAACACGGTTTTAACAATCAGTCCAAAAGTGACTGTGGAGGCCAATTCTGGATCCACACATCTTTCTACAGTGGGGACATTGGTTTCCGGGCAGGAGTTGATCACGGTGAGGGTTTGCCAAGTGTGCCTTCCTCTTAGCACATTTCTCCCTTGCATCCTGAGTTCGAGCATCTTCAAAATCCATGGCACCTTTGGTCAAGGCTGTTCTCCAACTGGAGCGGTCGCAGGCCAGTGTTTCCCAGGTGTCAGTGTTTATATTACATTTTTTTAGATTTGCCTTGAGGCAGTCTTTAAACCTCTTTTGTTGACCACCAGCATTACGCTTTCTGTTTTTAAGTTCGGAATAGAGTAGCTGCTTTGGAAGACAATCCTCAGGCATCCGCACTTGCTGGATCATGACCTTGTCGTGGTGAGTGGGCTTGCATGTTCCTATGACCCTTGTGAGCGAAGCCATTGGGAATCTCGTACTCCTAGCAGGGTCACCCAAGGTGGTAAGGTCAAAGGGAAGGAGCTAGACAAAGAATGATCCAAGAAGTCCTCAATGGCAGAACAGGTGGATGATAACAAGTGGTATGTTACAACGGCTGTGAAGGCGGATGAAGGCTGCAGCAGATAGGAATCTACTGGTTTGTCATGACTACTTCATACCATCGGAAAAGAGCCCTACTGTGAAGACTGTGTGTTGGTCAACGTGCACTGATCTACACACATAAAACAAATTCACGCACAGGCGTCTTCCAAAACACACACAGACACACACACACACACACACTGCAATGCACCTAGGAGTTCATCTGTACAATTCTTGATGCATTCTGCAGAAGGCACATGCAGAAGATGACTGTAGGGGCAATCTTTTCTGGAAGATAATTGTATTTCGAGGAGTTTAGTGATCTGACATGGTTGTCTCTTCCTGCCTCTCTTTACCTCCCCTCTCTGTCTCTTGTTCTGCTCTTTGATGGCTGAGAACAGTCTTTTAATGCCCTGATTTGTGGAAGGAAGTAATAGTGCTGGGCACCTTCCTTCTTTGAAGTGAGACATTGGAGAGGTGGGTAGCTAAGGAATCATCTGCGCTAGCTAGTCAGGCAAGGCACGTAGGCTAACAAGTTAGCTCTCTATAAATTAAATGGTTTGGGGGCATAGCTCTCAGAAGCTCATGCAACCTGAGGCCATCTGGGGTCCCTTCACCACTTCTTGATGGCTTCCCAGTTGCAGATCGAAGTGCTTCCTTGGTAATGTATATAATGCTTGTTTAGAATAATGCTTGTTGTTTAGAATAAAATCTTCTTGCTTGTGTTTGTATTGCTTCTGAATCTCATCAAAAGAACCATCTGCATTTGGCAAGACAACGGTCTAGCTCAGGGTGCTGAGCTCAGCACTGCTATGGTTACTCTTGGTATATTAAAAAATGTAGATGAATACCTCAGATGGAAGCCTCGCTCCCTGCATTCAAGGGATCTCCCTCCATCCCTGCCCCTTTCCTTGTCAGTGAATGGGGAGCTGCTTTTAGGTAACTGGTCTGTTGAAACATTGGTGGAACAAACTGGTGACTCTCCTCAGGATCTCCTTGGTCTTCACCCCATAAACAATGGGGTTCAGCATGGGAGGGATGAGGACATACAAGTTGGCCAGTAGGATGTGAACATAGCCTGGGATGTGGTGGCCAAAGCGATGAGCAAAGAAGGAGAAGAATGCAGGTGTGTAGAACATGAGGATGACACAGAGGTGGGAGCCGCAGGTGCTGAGTGCCTTCAGGCGAGCGTCTTTGGAGGAGAGCCGAAACACAGCCCTCAAGATCAGACCGTACGATGCTGCTATCAGCAAGGTGTCCACACCGATGGCCAAGATGGCCACCATGAAGCCATACCAGATGTTGACCGTGATGTCGGAGCAAGCCAGCCGGGCGATGCCCATGTGCTCGCAGTACGTGTGGGGAAGGATGTTGCGTTGGCAGAACGTCAAGCGCTTGACGAGGAAGATGACCGGGAAAATCACGCAGAAGCTTCTGACCATGGCAGCCAGCCCAATTCTCCGGATGACTGAATTGGTCAGCAAGGTGGTGTAGCGCAGCGGGTCGCAGATGGCGATGTAGCGGTCAAAGGCCATGGCCATGAGGATGGCCGACTCAGTGATGAAGACGCTGTGGATGAAGAACATTTGGGCTAGGCAACCTTCAAAGGAGATCTCCCCAGCCTTGAACCAGAAGATGGCCAGCATTTTGGGAGCGGTGGAGGTGGACAGAAGCAAGTCAGTGACAGCCAGCATGGAGAGGAAGAAGTACATGGGCTGGTGGAGGCTGCGCTCTGTGAAGATGATGAACAGCAGAGTGCTATTCCCCACCAGAGCCACGATGTACATCAGGCAGAAGGGGATGGAGATCCAGATGTGAAAGGCCTCCATCCCTGGGATGCCAGTCAAGATGTAGGTGGTGGGGGGCAAGGAGCTGTGGTTGGCTGGCAGCATCTGGGGCCTTGGAAGGGCTTCCTGGTAGCTGGGGTGGATGTAAGCAGGGATCCGTTCCCTCCCCAGCAGGCACTATGGATGGAAGACAGTTCACAGGGAAGAAAATCTACTGGGATCCGGAACAAATTCTGAGGAAGATGAGGTAAGCATGTCTTCTGCTGCTCCAAAGGGGAGGACCCAAACTGATGGATTCAAACCACAAGAAAGGAGATTCTGATAAGCATTAGAAATAATTTTCTGAGGCCAAAAGCTGTTTGACAGCAGAACAGATGCCCTCGGTGGACTCTCTTTCATAGATTTTGTAAACAAAGTTGGGTATTCTTTTGTATTGTGCTTTCTGCATTTACGAAGACAGCAGAGTCAACACAGAGTTAAGCCAGAATGTGGAAACCCTGCAGCCGTGTAGAGGGTCTGTCTGGTGGGCATAGCTGTCAACTTTCCCCTTTTCTTGTGAGGAATCCTATTCGGAATAAGGGAATTTCCCTTTAAAAAATGAGAAAAGTTGACATCTATGCTGGTGGGTCTCCTCTCCCGCCCGCCCTGAACAAGGAAGCTTTGTGTGTGCTAACAAATAATAAATAAATAATACACACATCTAGAGAACTCGTTCAACTGTCAAACCTCTCCTTCCTTCCTTCCCTCCCTCTGGCATTTGTGTTCGGTTAATCTGACTTTAGCAGGAATGGCACAGCAGACACGCAAAGGTGTATGAAAACACTTCTGTGTTTCTTTGAAGAGGGTCCACCTGGCAGCAATGTGGTTTTTTTAAAAAAAAATAGGTCATTTTTCAATAGGTTGCAAGTTTAATGCATATACCTCTTTAATTCCCCCATAATTTCCATCTGACATTGGACTTCCCTTCTGTGGTTCCCTGTATTTTCTAATATTGCTGCATATTATAACTTATTCTGCACTCTGTCCTCACCCTACTATCCCAAAAGCCGTCGTTTACTGCTGCTCATTATTCAAATCCTACTTGTGTCTTTATATGCTTACAATAGCTTTTTAAACATTCTGCAAATGGTTTCCAGTCCTCCTTAAAACCTGCCTTTTCTTGATCTCTAATTTCACTGGGCAGCAATGTCAAGGGCCCTGCCTGAGAACGTCCTTCCTAGTCCAAGCTGCCCCTCCTAACCCCTGGGCTGACCCCTTCAGCACCCCCGTCCAACAGATTTGAACCACACCTACCTGCCCCAGATATTTTGCCCACTCCTCCTTGGAAGGCAGCAGCAAGAACCGGCTCTGTGCAAAGTTCTCACCTGCCTTTAGCTCCAGCAAGCAGAGAAGCTCAGAGATGGGATTTGGGTCCCCCAGGCAGCAGCAGAGACAGGCATTTGAAGGAGGCTGGGTCCAAGGAGCTGAGGGACTTGGGCCGCCTCGTGTCTCCTTGGGAGTCCTGAGGGGGGTTTGGAGGCAGGTGCTGGTGCTGGTGGAGGAGAAGGGACCTCCTGGGACCCACTTTTCTCAGGCTCAGGGGGAATTTTCAAAAGGCAAGGAGAGCATAACCCTTGGTTTGCTCTGGGAGGCTAAACAATCTTTTCTTCTGTTGCACAGAGCTCTCAGTAAAGAACTTGCCTTGTAGTCAGGTCCCAGTCCCACCTGCGCCTTGGGTTCAAGAGAGTCTGGGATTCCCCCCAGTCATTCTCGGTGGGCATGTTTCCCTACACTCAAACTCTGTGGCCCAAGAACCCCACCCCTGACTCAGTGGGCTTCACAGAGAGCCGTGGATTTGAACCAGGGCATTTCCCCGTTTGCAGAGAATCAGAGACTCAACTTGTAGAGTTGGGAGGGACCCCTAGAGTCATCAAGTCCAACCCCCTGCAATGCAGAATCCCAATTAGAGCATCCATGACAGACGGCCATCCAACCTCTGCTTGAAAACCCCCAAGGAAGGAGAGCCCACCACCTCCCAAGGGAGACTGTCCCACTGTTGAACAGCTCTTACTGTCAGAAACTTCTTCCTGATGTATCTTCAGAACCTCCTTTGTTGTAATTTGAATCCATCGGTTCAAGCTTGCTCCACCCGCCATGCGGAAGCCCTTCAGCCTACAGTGGTACCTCAGGTTATAGATGCTTCAGGTTACAGACGCTTCAGGTTACAGACTCCGCTAACCCAGAAATAGTACCTCAGGTTAAGAACTTTGCTTCAGGATGAGAACAGAAATCTCATGGCGGCAGTGGGAGGCCCCATTAGCTCAAGTGGTACCTCAGGTTAAGAACAGTTTCAGGTTAAGAAGGGACCTCCAGAAAGAATTAAGTTCTTAACCGAAGGTACCACTGTATCTGAAGATGGCTATCACGTCAATTCGCTGTCTTTCCTTCTCCATCTCCATCCTTTGTCCCAAAGTGTCCACCTCGATCTCCAGAGCAGCCTTGAAGCCATAGGGATTCACAGCTCCTAGGAGCTGAAGCACTTTTGCCCCTGGGGGTTTTTTGGCCACTGAGAAGAGGCTGCTGGAGTAGGTGGTCCCCTCTTTGGCCTGGCCCAGCAGGTGCTTTCCACTGCTTGATCGTCGTCGTTGTTGTTGTTGTTCTTGTTCTTGTTGTTCTTGTTCTTAAACCCACCCTCAAAGCATTTTACAAAAAGATGAAACAAGAAAACCAAGAACAAATTACAGCCATACCATATCCCCCAACATTCCTTGGATGAAAATAGGGACATTTCTCTCTCACACACCCCCCCCCAATGTCCCTCATTGATGTCCTATTTTTGTGACCCCCCCTAAGCATTTCCTATCTGGAGGACGCTTGCAAGCATTCCCTCCCCCCACAAGTAGGACACCCTCCAGCGTCCTGAGAAAACCCATTGATCCCAATTTTATTCTTTGGTAGATTTACAAAAAGAAAAACACACAGAGATAAATAAATTTAGATGCGGACACACAAATCATTTCTTTTCTTTTCTTTTTTAAAAAAGTCAAGACTCCTTGTGCTCCACTCCCCATTTCTTTACCCCCAGGGTGGCTCTGCCCTCTGCCTGCACCCCACAGCTGGCGCATCATGCAGGCGGGGCCTTGGCCGTGGTGGCCTCTCGTCATCCTCACCTGCTCTTCAGCAGCTGCCATGAGTTGCCCAAGGGAGGAGAGGCCATGGAGAGACAATGGGATGCTCCTTTGCCACCACTCAGGGAAAATGCCGGCTTACCACAAACTCAGTGGTGGCAGTACTGGCAGGGGGAATAGGGACATTCTGGGAACCAATCAGAAGCTGGGATGGCTTCTGCATACCTGAAGGAGCATCTCCACCCCCATCGTTCAGCCCGGACACTGAGATCCAGCGCCGAGAGCCTTCTGGCGGTTCCCTCGCTGTGAGAAGCCAAGTTACAGGGAACCAGGCAGAGGGCCTTCTCGGTAGTGGCACCCACCCTGTGGAATGCCCTCCCTTCAGATGTCCCTGGGAAACCGGGGCGATTGGAGGGTACGCCTACCAACAGAGGAGCCAACAGAGGAGACTTTTTGAAAGATTTAAAGCCTTTTAATCACAAACCATGTAATCCACGCCTTTGCAGAGCTCCAGCATCGGCACAGCAGCTGCAGGAGTCCAGCCTTGGCTCAGCTTCCGTCCTCTTCCGCCTCAGAGTTTGTACGTCCGCTTCTGCTTGGAAGACGGCTGCGCGGACGAGCCCCGCAGGCGGCTGGCGGTCTTCACGCCAGCTAAGAAGTCAGCGCCCACCAGAGTCTCCAAGATCTGCTGGGCAGTGACATCCTGGCGCCCCACCCTCGAGACGGGGGGCACCATGTCGCAGAGGGAAGTGATGGAGTGCGCCCTCCGCGCGGGCCGCTCGGATCTGCCTCGCCTCTCTGTTCCCGGCTCGTCTGTGGCGAGTGCCTGCAGCCTCTGCTGGATTTCTACCAGCCCCTGGATCTCCTTGGGGCTCCAGTTGGCCAACAGGATGTCTGTGCTTTGAATCTGCTGGAGGAGGTCTGGGACCTGCGGGGCCGCCTGCCCCCGGGGGCTCCTGGACACGGAGGTGTTCCTGCGGACCATCTTGGCCACCACCTCCGGGGTGTGGCTGCTCCTGGAGGGGCTGCTAGATGCGAGGTTCTGCATCAGATGCTTTATGATTTGGTGGAGGAGGTTCTTCACAGCTGCCGAGGCGAGTTGTCCTGTCTCTCCCCTGAAGGCGCCGCTTTCCCCGTTGCTCTCATCGTTGCCGTTGGGTGCTAGGTTCTGGGCGCCAGGCTTTGGAGGCCAAGTTCTGGGAGAAGGCAGCCTCTCCCGGGCCCTCTCAAGCCTTTCACCGTGGTCAAAGGTGGGTGGGTGGCCCCCCAGGTATCCTGGCGAGGGGCTTGCCCCGCACCGCTTTGGAATGGCCTTCTGCCCTAGTCCTCTTTGTGCCTCAGGGAACGCACCCTGAAGGACACTGTTGTTGTCTCCACCAGGGACGCTTCCAGGGCAAGTGGTGGCCTGGGGAGGCGATTTGATGAACTCCTTCACGACCGCTGGGTTCCTTGCCAGTTCCACCACCAACCTCATTCCTTCTGGGGAGCTGAAGACGTGGCTGATCTCAGGGGCTTTCTGCATCACCTGCCGCACCTGCGGGTTGCTGGTGACCAGCTCCTTCATCAGGTCAGGGCTAGAGAGCTTGCTCTGGATGAAGGGGTTCTCCAGCAGTTGCACCATCATGTCTGGGTTGGACATGAGCTGGCTCTGGAACTCTGAAAAGTTGGCTGTGTTGAGGCCCAGGCTGGCGGTCAGCTCCCGGAGGCCATCGCTGGCAAAAGCATCTCCCCGAGGAGGCTTCTGATCTGGGGCAGTGCTGGTAGGGCTGGCGGAAGCCTGTCGGGACAGGCGCCCCCGGGGAGACCGGATGACCACGTAGACTGTTGCGTCGTAGTCTAGGTGGATGCCATGCTGGCCAAGGGTCTTGTGGTCTTTCAAGATCCTTCCGACATACACCAGCACAACTTGGTCAGGAGAAGAGGAGAAGTGCCTGGCGACATGTTCTTTGAATTCTCGGACCAACATCTCCCTGTGGACCAGAAACTCTTCCTTCTGCC